GAGGAGGAGGACAAGGAGGAGTGAGGTGGAGGACGAGGAGGAGGAGGAGGCGAAAGACGAGGAGGAGGAGGAGGAGGAGGGAAGGAGGAGGAGGAAGAGTAGGAAGAGGAGGCTCACCTTAGCGATGGGTAGAGGAGCAGCTCCCGGCGATGGCTCTAGCGGAGGCGGCTATGCCTGCAGCAGCGTTGTCGTCGGGGCAGCGGGGCAGCGGGGCAGCGGGGCAGCGAGCAGCAGGGCAGTGAGCAACGAGGCAGCGAGCAGTGGGGAGGTGTTGCAGGGGGGCAGTAGGGCAGCGAGCAGCAGGGAGGCAGGGCTTCGGGGAGGCGGGGTTGTGCGATTTCGAATTCAAAATGGGCCCGATCTGGGACGTCGATCTTGGTGGATGGACGACCCACATCGGCTCGTTTTTTTCTCGAAATTTGCGGGTCTTTCCCACGATCCGCCACCGTGAGGTGTTGCCAGGGGTTGATCAAAACCCCTTGGCACCCCTAAACCCCAAGAAGAAGCCCTGCGCCTATTTTGCGCTTGCCCCAGAATGTTTATTTCTGGGTTCTTCCGGGGTAATTTTTCCGGCCGGATAAACTGGATGGTCTTGGTGCATCCGGATATCAGGAAAAAAAACTTAGTAGATAATACTATATATATATATATATCGTCACAAAAAGAACTGCCCAGTAAACCGTAGGCAGAGAGAGAGAAGAGGACAACAAACGAGGGGTTGTGACAAACTGTTTCGTCGGAGTTTCACCGACTCATTAGGAGGCTGAATATATATATATATATATATATATATATATATATGTATATATATATATATATATATATATATATATATAGCACGGCGAACGTGTTCGTGGTGCTCCCCGTTCAACAAACGGGTCGCGAACACGTTCGCGAGAACGTATTTTGAGAGGCCGCGAACGCCGTTCGCGGGGGCCGTTACCGATCGCCGGTGATGGTCAGGGCGGGGGTTTTGGGGCCTGGGGGAGGGCAGGGGTGTCCCGCCAACTGAAGGCGGGGGGCAGGGGGGCTGCAGGGAGTCGATTTTGAATTCGAAATCGAACTCCAATGCGCATTACCCCCGGATGGAGCAGCAGCTCACAGAGGAGGTGGGTGTGCAGGTGAGTGACCAGCCATAGCCCATGACCAACCCCGTTCCCCCCCCCCACGCCCAACCTGCCCTGCCGTGTGTGAGAGAGTGTGTGTGTGTGTGTGTGTGCGTGTGTGTGTGTGTGAGTGTGTGTGTATGAGAGAGAGAGAGAGAGAAATCAACTCGTCGACCATCTCTCTCCTCCTCCTCTTTGCTGTCTTCTTCTTCTTCTTCTTCCTCTTCTTCTTCTTCTTCCTCTTCTTCTTCTTCTTCTTCTTGTTCTTGTTCTTCTTCTTGTTCTTCTTGTTCTTCTTCTTGTTCTTCTTGTTCTTCTTCTTCTTCTTCTTCTCCTCCTCCTCCTCCTCCTCCTCCTCCTCCTCCTCTACTCCAACTACTCATGTCGTCATCGCTGCACGGCTGCCACGTCAACACGCGGCTTTTTTTATCTTCTTCTTGTTCTTCTGTTCCTCCTCTTCTTCTTCTTCTTCTTCTTCTTCTTCTTCTTCTTCTTCTTCTTCTTCTTCTTCTTCTTCTTCTTCTTCTTCTTCTTCGTCTCCTCCTCCTCCTCTTCTCTTCCTTCTCCTCACCATATTTTCTCCTCCTCCTCTTCTCCTCCTCCTCCTCGCCATCTTTTCTATTTCTTCTTCTTCTCCTCCTCCCCTTCTCCTCCTCCTTCTCCTCTTCTCCCCCGCCTCTTCTTCTTCTTCTTCTCCTCCTCCTCTTCTCCTCCTCTTCTTCCTCTTCTCCTCCTCTTCTTCTTCATCGGTCGGGAGTCGGGACCTCCTCCTCCTCCTCGATCGGGACCTCCTCTGTCATCTGCCTCTTCCGTCGTCAGGACCTTCTCCGTCGTCGTCGGAGGAGGTCCCAACCGACCAATCAATCAATCAATCCCATCGAATCTATTGATTCAACAGGATCTTGAACTCTCAAGATCCTGTCGAATCAATAGATTCAATGGGATTGATTGATTGATTGATTGATTGATTGATTGATTGATTGATTGATTGGTCGGTCGGGACCTCCTCCGACGACGACGACGATGGAGGAGGTCCCGATGACGGAGGAGGTCCCGACGACCGAGGAGTTCCCAACATCGGAGGAGGTCTTGGTGACGGAGGAGTTCTCGATGACGGAGGAGGTCCCGATTGAGGAGGAGGAGGAAGAGGAGGAGGAGGAGGAGGAGGAGGAGGTTCCCGACGACGAAGGGAGTGGACCTGGTGGGGGGAAGTACAATTGCAGAACAGAGAACCCCCCCCCCCGGCCCCTACCACATTAGACACCGGGG